TATGAATGGACACTCCCTGAGTTAGAAATATTTTTCTTCATATAAAATTCAAAACTCTAGCTCCTAGTACTGGATATGTGAAATGTTAGTATGAATTTTTCACTATGAGGTATATACTCCTTGACGATTGTAAATCTTATATAGCTTAAGTGCTCTATAATAACAACTGTGTGGAAACCTTTCCCCAAAGAAGAGATCTCTTAGGACAGTTGAAATATACTCAGATGTCTGTCAATCTGTAAGCGGTTTTCTGTTACATGGCTGAGAGAAGAATATTTGAAAAGAATACTAAACCAGTATTTCTTCATTTAACATTTGGAGGCCTGTACTATACTAGTAAATTCTTAGTTATGTGTTCACATGATCATGTCTTTGTAAAATTTGCAATAGAAAGCCATTTTCTACCTCAGTTTCTACTGCTATGTTCCCCACTCCAACTTCCTGTCCTTTAGGTTTTCATTTTATGTCTGGTAATTGGAAAGACTATTCAAATGATATATTCACAATTTTGTGTTCTTTTTTGATAAAGGCCCCTCAAAATTGTAAAAGCTTCTGGCTTCATAAAACCTAAATTTGCCTATCATCACAAAAAAGAAATGTATAATCCTCATAAAATAAGCTTCCGCCTCTCAATTAGAGTAAAACTCAAACTCTTTATGATTCATGCCTACTCTTCCAATGTTATCCAGTGTCTCCCTTCTCCACTTAATCCAGGATTCAGATTTTATGATCTTTGAACTTTATTAAATAGGTCAAGTTCTTTGCTGCCTCAGCTGTTGCACATATCCTAATCACTATAATGAATGGCTTTCAATCATTCTTTCCATAAACGACTTCTTTGTAAAAGAGGTCCCCACTTCCTTCCCTCCTATTCTCTATCTCAATCATTGGATTTTCTATTTCTTTGAACACAGTGATCCATAAATATACTTTTAAAATTTTTATTACTTGGATATTTAGCTTATTTCTCTTTTTTGTTGTTTTCCCTCTCTTATACTGGAATAAAATCTCTGGATAGGTAGACCTGTGCTTGTGTCTTCACCATTTTCTCCTGTCCTATGATAGGTGTTTACGACATCTTGAATAAATCAAATTTAACTGGACCTTTGACACTGCCCTTCATCTGCAATGTACTCATTCTCTTTCTCAGCTGCGACTATTTCAAAACTTTTCTATTCTGCCTAGTACTCCTCCTCCTCCTTTACCCGTACACAATTCAATCTCAGATGATCATGTCTCACACTTCAAAACAGAATCCATCAGCTTCTACCATTTTCCCGCTTTACTGCTCATTTTCCTTCCCATCTCCTGTCACAAAGTTGAAAACAGTCCTGTTACCACTCAAGCACAATACCTCCACAGTAGCTCTGAACCCTTCCCCTCACATCTTCTCAGGGTGACTATGTAAGTCGTGTGTTTAATCTTTGCAGTGCCCCTCTTTGCTATAGCTGCTCTGGTGTCTTCAATCTTTTGTTTAATTCTCCCTTCAGTGTAAATTTCCTCAAGCAATATTCTAAACTTGCTATTTGCTGCACAGCCAGATTTCTTGAAACAGTTATGTCCACAGTCTGTATTAAACGTCTTGCTCATCATTTTTATTGGCAGGTTCTATTTAGGGTCTGCCTCTTCTACTCCATTAAAAACCATTTTTGTTACACTAGTCATTGGCCTCTACCTTGCCAAATCCATCACAATTTCCCAACTGAATAAAATAAATTAAATTAGAAACATTTGTCACTTACATAATGATAATGTAATTAAATTATAATTTCCTTGACTTTATTATATAAGGCACTATGGTGATAAATATTTATAAATAATTAAGTCTAGTAACCAAAACAATCCTTTGAAATATTAGAACTGTTGTAAATACTGTAACATTTTACAAATAAGAAAGAGTCAATAAAGCTTCAAATAGACTTGCTATGTTGGCCAAAGATACATGCTCAGCAAGTGGTGGAATTAGAATTCAGACAGGATGACTTATTAAACAATCTGTTACACTCCCTTTACATTAACAATTTCCTTCTTTTTATGTCTATGGAAACATTCCAGATTTTTTTCTCCTGTTTCCCTGAGTCCTCCTCCCTGCCCCCCACCCCCACCCCCCACCATTTTCTTTGCTGTCTATTCCTCTTCTGCCTTATATTTAAATGTTGTAATGTTTCAGGGCTTCGTCTTGAGCTCTTTACTCTTTTCATTCTGTATTCTCATCCAATTTGGTGTCATCATTTATATGCTGATACTCCCAAATACGTATCTCCTGGCTAAATGCATATCCAGTTCCACAGTTCACATATCCAATCTTGATTTTCCATTGGCAACTCAACCATAATGTGTCCAAGTGAAAAGTTGAACAACCCTCTCAAAAATCCTTTCTCTCCAGTCAGTACCATTTTCCAAAATGGTATTGCCATTTACCTACATACTTGTGAGAAAGCAATTAAAAACAAACATGTCCCATCAAGCTACCAATGACCTTCTTCACAGAATTGGAAAAAACACCTTAAACTTCATATGGAACCAAAAGAGAGCCTGCATAGCCATGTCAATTCTAAGCAAAAAGAACAGAGCGGGAGGCATCACACTACCGGACTTCAAACTATACTACAAGGCGACAGTAATCAAAACAGCATGGTACTAGTACCAAAACAGAGATATAGACCAATGGAACAGAACAGAGGCCTCAGAGGCAACAAAACCCATCTACAATCATCCAATCTTTGACAAACCAGACAAAAACAAGCAATAGGGAAAGGATTTCCTGTTTAATAAATGGTGATGGGAAAACTGGCTAGCCATGTGCAGAAAGCAGAAACTGGACCCCTTCCTGACACTTTACACTGAAATTAACTCCAGATGGATTAAAGACTTAAACATAAGACCTAACACCATAAAAACCCTAGGAGAAAATCTAGACAAAACCATCCAGGACATAGGCGTAGGCAAGGACTTTATGACCAAAACACCAAAAGCAATGGCAACAAAAGCCAAAATAGACAAATGGGACCTAATCAAACTCCACAGCTTCTGCACGGCAAAAGAAACAATCATTAGCGTGAATCAGCAACCAACAGAATGGGAAAAAATTTTTGCAGCAAACCCATCTGACAAAAGGCTGATATCCAGAATCTACAAAGAACTAAAACAGATTTACAAGAACAAAACAAGCCCATTCAAAAGTGGGCAAATCATATGAACAGACACGTTACAAAAGAAGACATATATGAGGCCAAAAAATGCTCATCATCACTGGTCATTAGAGAAATGCAAATCAAAACTACATTGAGATACCATCTCACGCCAGTTAGAATGGTTATCATTAAAAAATCTGGAGACAACAGATGCTGGAGAGGATGTGGAGAAATAGGAACACTTTTACACTGTTTGTGGGAGTGTAAATTAGTTCAACCATTGTGAAAGATAGTGTGGCAATTCCTCAAGGACCTAGAAATAGAAATTCCATCTGACCCAGCAATGCCATTACTGGGTATATATCCAAAGGATTATAAATCGTTCTGCTATAAGGACACATGCACATGAACGTTCATTGCAGCACTGCTTACAATAGTAAAGACCTGGAACCAACCCAAATGCCCATCGATGATAGACTGGACAGGGAAAATGTGGCACGTACATCCCATGGAATATTATGCAGCCATCAAAAACGATGAGTTCATGTCCTTTGTAGGGACATGGATGAACCTGGAAACCATCATTCTCAGCAAACTGACACAAGAACAGAAAATAAAACACCACTTGTTCTCACTCATAGGTGGGTGTTGAACAATGAGAACACATGGACACAGGGAGGGGAGCATCACACACACTGGGGTCTGTAGGGGGGAAATAGGGGAGGGACAGCAGGAGGTGGGGAGTTGGAGAGAGATAGCATGGGGAGAAACGCCAGATATTGGTGATGGAGAGAAAGACAGCAAATCACACTGCCATGTGTGTACCTATGCAACAGTCTTGCATGTTCTTCACATGTACCCCCAAACCTAAAATCCAATAAAAAAATAAAAAATAAAAAATAAAACAAACATGTAAGTCTCTTGATCTCACTCTTTTTCACACCCAACATTTGGTAACATCACCTATACTTTCCACCACCAAAATGTTTTCCAAATCTGCCTTCTGCTCTGCACCTCCTCTATCATCACTCTCTCTCAGTCACCACACTTTCTCACTTTACCTGGACTCATTGTGCTGCCTCTTGCCTACAAAAAGTACAGCATCCAGGAAAACAATCCAACAAAACTAGAAGTCAAATTATACCATTTCTTTCCTTAAAACTCTTTTATGGGTTTTCATCAGTCATAAAATGAATCCAAATGACATGAGGCCCTGAGCTGATCTGGATAATTGTTTCCATATCTCTCATCTAGCCTCAGTAGGCTAGACTCTGCTTTACCACCTTGAAATATTATTGTTTTGTTTTACAGTTTTGCACGTATTTTTCTTTGGCTTGGAACACTCTACATATATTCATTTTCCAAAAGAGTCAATTCTTCTTCTAACCCTGAAAAACTGATGGCTCATTGGCAAACATAAATGAGATTCATGTAATAGTCCTCAGAACTTATCAAAGTTAGAAAATAAAGACCTACACTAAGGAAGTACAGAAACTAACACACATGATAGAAGGTATAAAGTAGAAAATGAAAAACAAATTAGCTGAGGAAGTTGCCACAAGCTATAATTTTGGTAATGAGTGATAAGTTCTAAATAATTTGAAAGCTTGTATTTAGAGCAACAAAAGCAATTATACTATAATCACAAATTTGGAAGGTAGGTGGCCCATAGGAAACATTAATTTGATGCACTATTTTAAAGACATTTTCAAAAAACCCTTCTTTTTCAGTTTACGTTAAATCAAGAGATACCATGATTTTAATCAACATTCCTTAACAATTTCTCTATATAATTCAAATTTTTTTAATTGGAACACAGATTTATTTTCAGTTTGAAAGAAGAATTTCTCAAAAAACAATACTTACCGTAACATGTGGGTGAATCAGACCAACCATTGTAACCACAAACTATGGAACCAGTGGTGCTTCCGTTTGTGCTTTCATAACCATCATGGCATTCATAGTCCAATATGTCATTCAGCTTAAACCATGTGATGCTATTTTTGGCTCTGGCATTGTTAAATGCTGGCATATCACAAGATTCTAGTACATAAACAATTGAGAATATCATTTCTAACGTAATCTAAAAAGCAATCTACATATTTCCCATTCTAAGAAGAAAAAGCTTTATTGATTGGATGTACTAATAAATAAACACTGTACAAAAATAATCTAAGACTGGTGAGAAATTACTGTCCTGAAATAGTTGCCAAAAATGAAAGTATATGTTTCTACACAGCATTTTTTCATTGTTTAAGCCCCAAAATCTATGTTAAGAACATTTTTCTTAATTCACTTATATCAAGGCATTTATGAAAATGCTAGTAATAAAACAGGGCACTACAGTTGTATATTATTTTTTAAAGAAAATCATAACAGCATTTTGTAAATAAAGATGCCAGACTAATTCAAAGTTGAGGCATATGTAGAAAGGAAAAAATGATTAAAAAATGAATTCCTTAGTTATAAAAGACATTTTCTCTTTAATAAGAAAATCTTAAAAGATTAATTAATAAAAATTTAGTACAAAATGAGTTTTATGAGGAGTAACTTTTTTGTAAACTAGACTTCATATTAAACATAAACTTTTAAAAAAATGAAAACAGTATACATGAGTACACTAAATATTAACTTCCCTTAACATGAGTATATTAAACATTACTTCAAAATATTACTGAGAGGCGGGCAGATCACTTAAGGATAGGAGTTCTACACATCCTGGCTAACACGGTGAAAACCCGTCTCTACTAAAAATACAAAAATAAGGCAGGCATGGTGGGAGGTGCCTGTAATCCCAGTTACTCAGGAGGTTGAGGTAGGAGAATTGCTTGAACCCATAAGGCAGAGGCTGCAGTGAGCCAAGAACACACCACTGCATTCCATCCTGGACAACAAGCAAGACTCTGTCAAAAACAAAACAAAACAAAACAAAAAAACTGGATAGCTTTGCAGGAAATAAGACAAACTGAGCCAATTGTTGCTACACAATTTTCGTAAATATCTAGATAGGGTGGTAGGGAAATAGGGAAATACACACACACACACACACACACACACACACACACACACATATATACATGAGTGGCTGTGCAAAATGACAAACTGAGCCCATTGTTCCTATAAAATCTTCACAAGTATCTAGATAGTGTGGTAAGAAAATGATTCAATAGAGCAGAAATTGGTACCATCTAGAAATATTTTATCTCTCTACTACCCATATATTTGCAAAAAAAATTCTAAGGGGGAGGATATTCAGAATTGGACATAGCCTACAGTGTCAAATCTATAAATTATAGAGTTTAAATTATTTTGATATTATGCACTATGTATCCGTATCTTTACTAAAAACATTACTTTTCGCCGGGTGCGGTGGCTCAAGCCTGTAATCCCAGCACTTTGGGAGGCCGAGGCAGGTGGATCACAAGGTCAAGAGATCAAGACCATCCTGGTCAACATGGTGAAACCCCGTCTCTACTAAAAATACAAAAAAATGAGCTGGGCATGGTGGCGCGTGCCTGTAATCCCAGCTACTCAGGAGGCTGAGGCAGGAGAATTGCCTGAACCCAGGAGGCGGAGGTTGCGGTGAGCCAAGATCGTGCCATTGCACTCCAGCCTGGGTAACAAGAGCAAACTCCGTCTTAAAAAAGAAAAAAAAAACACACACACACAGACACACACATTACTTTTATATCTAGGGGCAAAGACTTTGATATTAAAGGCTAATCACATAAAACAGGTATATATAACAGTCATAAAGACATAAGCTAAAAAGAAATAAGTTTAAAGCAGAATACACATAAAGCTCCCTAACTCGTTTCTACAACACAGAACGCTTTAGAGTGGGAAAAACTTGAATGGAAAGACAAACTAATATTTGAGTAATTAAGTAAAAAAGAAAAATAAAGTGATGTCTGTTTTGTTCCTCAAAGTTTTTTTTTTTATCTTTTCAAATGAAATTGTGTCAGCCCACACAAAAAGACTACAGTTAGTAAACTTTTGTGTAACATCTGGATAATCAATACAAATGTAATAAATTACTTACTAACGCATTTGGGTTGAGCTGACCATCCACTTTTCAGACACGAAATTGATCCTGACGTTTCACCATTTGCTGTTATAAATCCTAGTTTGCATTGATATTTTGCTTGTTTATTTAAGGCATATGTATACTGAGATTCAGAAAAAAAGCCATTCTCAATATCTATATCTGATCTAGAACATGTTTCTAAAAGGGGAGACAAAAAGAAAAAGACAAGGATATGTTTAATTATATTTCATAAGAATTTAAATAATATGAGAATATAAAAAATAATGAATCATTTATAAATGAAAACCTGCAGAATCATAAGCATTCAAATACTTAAGTCAAGGAAAATAAGTTCTGTCTTGCCAAAGATATTACAGCAAGACTCTTCATCATTTTTTAAACAAGGCGCTATTTAAGACACTTACTATTCCTTCTAAGAAATTATTGAAAATCTGTTTGTCTCAGGCATTTGGAATTCTACAGCATGTCAGAACACAATAGACAATGTGTTATTTCCCAGAACTTTTTAATCTTGCCGATTTTAGACTTTTTAGGCAATTCCAAAACTCATTTAGCCAGTGAAGTATCTGAGATTCCGTGATGATCTTAGAAAATCTGCCAAAATAACTGTAATAGCCTTTGGCACCAAGAATTTGAAATGTTATTCTTATTGTGTGCTTCAAAGTAAATGAACATGTGGAGTTCAAAGAAGATGAGGAATAGTAGCAGATGTACTTATCTTGAACGGACAAAATGATAATAACCTCAAAGTATGTAGAAGTTAACTTTAAAGAACAGAAGATACTGTCTCTGTAAACTGATGATAGAAATTAATGTCAGTTACTAGGTTGCTTCCCAGAATTCAGCTTCATTCATAAATAACTCATGGATAAGAAGAAAATCAAAAGAGAAAACATTAACTATTTTGAATTGAAGGATAATAAAAACATTAAATAAAACTTGGTGAGATGACACTCAAATAATGCTTAGAGGAAAATATATCATTACATAGCTATAAAAGAAAAGAATAAAAACTGAAAGTAAATTATTTATAAGAAATTACAACAAAGTAAGCAAACAAAATTTTGAAACACAAATATGAGCAGAAACCAAATAGAAAACAAACAGTAGATACAAATAAAAAAGTAAAAGATCAGGCAAGAATAATCAAGTAAAACAGAGTTCTAGCCACAAATAAGGAAATGGAGCCAAATAGATGAAAATAACATTTTCAGACATTGGAAAGCAGGAAGCACCTTATTCCAGAGAAAAAGTGACAATATGAGATGAGTTCCATCATCGAAGGGACTTTATGCATGGAGAAATTTTCCAAACAGCAGCAGAGAGAACGAGAATTCAAGCAGAAAATGGCAGACTTGCTGAGTAGAAGAAACAAAACTCAGTGTTCCCCAAAAGGATGAGATCATCAGAATCTGCAGGAAAGGGAGTCAGAAAAGAAGGAGGCATGGAGTAAAAGGGCTCTACAAATTTCCACAACAATTCCCTAGATTACTTGGCTGAATACTGACACTCTGGTGAGTAGACCAAAACTCCACAAGAACCGACAAAGGATACCTACCAGTTGAAGAACACTACCAGAGAACAAAAAGGTGAAAGAAGCCCAGAGCACTCACAACGCTGGGACACATTTGAAATGAATCAATCGGAGTAGAAAGACTCCTTTAAACATCTAGGTCGTTTAGTAGAGACATCAGAAGAAGCTTAATATTCTGAGCAAACGATCTCTGGGGAAAAGTCTCCATAAACCAGCCTTTAAAAAGCTTAAAAATAAGCCTTGAAAGAAAGAATCAGGTTGACTCATAACAAAAGACTTTTAAAAAAATTTTAAAACAAGTAATCCTTGCAGTCTCGCAGACGTATAGACTTCAGAAGTTCCAAAGCTGCTTCTCTTAGCTAAAATACAGAGTAGATATTAAAAAATAAATGAATAAAACCACCTTTTGGCAATAATTCCTTCTTTCCACCTCCCTCCAAAAAACCCAGTAAATCTTTTACAGAATACTAACCCTACTCCAGCCAAACACTAATGGATAAACTACATATCAAAAGTTGTGGCATGACACTAGAGCACTATGAAATAAACTGGAGTCACTAACTACATGTGATAGAAAATGACAGTGTTCTACTTCAGTAACCTTAGCCTCTATCATCAGACATTAGAAAAAGTAAAAAAAAAAAAAAAAGAAAGAAAGAAATTAAACTCAAAGAAAGCAGAAGAAATAATACAATAAAGATCAGAGGTGAAATGATAAATAAGTAAATATGTACCTAAAAAGGAAACCAAAAGCTTGCTAATTTAGGTCTCTATAATTGATAAACCTTTAGATAGACTGAATCAGAAAAAAAGATGACACAAACTGCTTATATGAGAAATGACAGAAATAACATCATTATGGTTTTTACATATATTAAAAGAAAAATAAGTAATATTCTAAATAATGCTACATCAATAAATCTAATAACTTGAATTATTAAAAAACTTACTAAAGCCACAAAGTACCATAGCTCTCTCAGAAGAATTAGGTAATATTAATAAATTATATCTATTAAACAAATTGGATTTGCAGTTGAAGCAAGAAAAACAAAATATTTAGTTATAAATCTAAAAAATACAGGATCTGTATGCTGAAAATCACAAAACTGGTGTAAGATATCAAAGATGCTCTTACTAAATCAAAGGTATATAATGTTCACGGATGGAAAAGTTCAATACTGTTACATGTCAGTTCTCCCAGATTCATCTGTAAATGTGTCCCAATCCTAACGAATAACAAACCACAATGTTTTGTGCTGATTCTAAAGTCATATGGAAAGGCAAAGGGGCTAAAATAGCTAAACAATTCTTCAAAAGATAAGAGAAGTTAAAAAAAGCACATTACCAGGTTTTAAGACTTAGGAAAAGCTAAAGTGAGTAAAAGGATCTCATGATACTGGTGAAAGGATAAACACACAGAACAGCAGAAGAGAACAGAAAATCCAGAAATAGACTCACATGTGTGGATCTATTCTAAAGACAGCTTTGATTCTATTTTGTTATAAAACTATCAGGTTTACATGCCCGTTGTTTAGCAGTAGATCAATACAGTGAGACAGTAGGGTTTGCGGCAAAGAAGGACTTTAATCAACTCAAGGCCAGCAAACAAGGAAATGGGAGGATTCTCAAGTCTCAAATCTGTTCTGTGAAGGAGTTCTTGGGAAGGGACTTCAAGGAATTATAGAGGGTAAGGGGCTAGAAAATTTGGGTTGTCAACTGGTGAGAGTAATGGGGATGAAAGCACCAGGATGCGAAATCTGCATTATTCCATGTCTCAGCTTTTTGCTGGGCTCTTTAGAACAGCTGATTGCGTGTGTGTGTGTGTGTGTGTGTGTGTGTGTGTGTGTGTGTGTGTGTGTGTGTGTGTTTTGATTTTTGTTTTTTGTTTTTGAGACATGGCCTTTCACTGTTTCCCAACTGGATTTCAGCAGCATGATCTCAGCTCACTGAAACTTCTGCCTCGCAGGCTCGAATGATCCTCCCACCTCAGAACTCCTGAACAGCTGGTACTGCAGACCTGAGCCATGATGCCTGGCTAATTTTTTACTTTTTTGTAAAGATGATGTTTTGCCTTGTTGACCAGTATGTTGATAGTTTTTTTGGTATACAAAACCAAAAGGAGAAACTCATGCAGAATATCATCTCACAATAGCTTAGATTTTATGTATGTAAAGGAAAGAATCAAAAGGTCTTGTAACAAGGGCTACATTATCCTAGGGTAGTAATCAGTGACCAGCTACAAAGAAGTAGGCCAAAGGGAGAGCTGGCTTAATGATTACCACTGTTTGTCCTGAAAGCATAGTTAAATTTTTCCCCTTAATCAATTTTATATAATTTTCTTAGGGATAGTTTTAGTTCCCCCTGGGCTTGATATTCTTCTCAATCCTGAGGTGTAAGAGCTAATGTGGTGGAAATCGGGCAATGGCTACGCTTGCTTCTTTTTCCTGACAAGGGGTACAGTCAGAGAGTGAGTCAGGATTACAGGAAAGAAATTGCCTTTTTACACTCGGCTGAGGGTGCTGCATCAACATGCTAGTATTTCAGTCTCTGGTTTTATTGTAATATTTAATTGAATAGCAGCCTGCGATGTAACTGTAAGCCCTAGAAACAGAATTGTGAGCTTGAACTTTAAGAGTCCCTGAAAGATGGACTGGAAAACATGGAGTATCCAGGGGAAAAGCTCAGAACACTCGTTGGGTCTGTGGTAGACACATACTGCAGCCAGGTAGACTGCTGACAGATTTTCTTTAGCTTGGTTTTTACTTTACTAGAAGCATTGCTGTAAGTACAACAGGTGGTATTGATCACTGTACAGACTCCTCTCTGTATAGCCAAGAGAAAATCAAGTGTAACGCTTTGTCAAGAACTATCTGGGCAAGTAAATTTAAAGTGCTCAGCCTTCATGTCCCAAGCAGCCTCTTTTGTGGTTACTTCTATGGTTGCCAATAAGTTTCTGATCATGTCCCAGTTACTGTATACTCCATAGCTGGGAATCAAGATGCCTAGAAGGCTCTGCCACCACATGTATTGATATATGCCTGGCAGTCCCTTGTGGAGTCGTGGGAAAATGGGGAGAATCTTTTGTCATTAGGATGGACTGAGCAGTGTCCCAGTAAGTGAGAGCCCTCAATATGCAGGTTACTGAGACACCACCAGGCTGGTCCTAACAAACGCGGGTCTGACCCTATGCCACAAATAAACATGTACCAAGGAGACACACGGGGAAGCCCTCGAGCATGCATTTGTTGATGGATTTGTTTGTGGGGAATATAGACAAAATGGAATTGAACTATGGATCTGTTTTACAGACTCCTCAGGATTTATTTGTGTAATATTCCCCACTGTAAATATTTTTGGCATAGTAAGGAGAAACTTTTCATTTTATTTCCCTTCCCCTGGCTGTATTTGTCTATCCAGTATGCCACGGGCCAGGGAGGGCCTGTTATGGAATGAGTTTCCATTTACGATAGGAGAGAGAGACTGAAACACAAGGTGGTGATTTCTTGGTGTACTACTAGTTGGACCTGGGAAGGAGCCATGGAAAGCAGCTGGTGCAGATAAGTAGTAGTTTCTGGGACATCCAGGAAGTCAGTGACAAGTATGACTAACAGAAAATGCTGATTTTGAATAGTTTGGGGGAGCT